AAAAAAAAAAAAATTAGGAATACTGACATTAGGAAGAGCCTGGAGTTTTGACATGTTTTATAGGTAGAGCTGCCAGCATCTACTACTGATAGACTGGCTGTGGGATATGACTGGAGTAAAGGATTACTCATTTTTTCTGGCCTGGGAAGCATGTCCGAAAGAAGGAAACCAAGTTCAATTTTGGACATGCTAAATCTTCCATCAAGTTCCAACATTTACAGGTCGGGAAAGTGAGAAGATCTAGCAAAAGAAATTAATAAGGAGTATGCAGTAAGGTGAGAGGAAAAGCAGGAGAGTATAATGTCATGAAAGCCAAATGAAAACTGGATTTTAAGAAGGACTTTGTCAAATGTATTGAGAGGGTAAATAAATATGGACTAAGAAAAAGATGGAAAACTAGAAACAGCTCCTTTGCACCATGCATGGTGAGATCAGGGAGAAAGGGCTTCATCCACCTCTGGCTGGTGGATCCTACCTAGAAAAATTGCTTCAGGGGCACAGAGAAGCACAGAAGCCTCCTGGAGCCCAAAAGGAGGTTGGGAGAAGTGGCAATAGAGAATAGGAACAGAGGGTGAGTTACTTGCGTGTCTTTTTTTTGGCGGGGGGGATTCTGGGGGACTTGGTGGAGTTACTTTGGGAGAACTTGAATGAGTGAATGAGTGACCAGGGGCCGGGACTGAGCCACTGGGCAGAGCAGGGCTTTCATTCAGTTGTAGGCTCGGTGCAGCCATTGTGGGACAGTTGCCTTGAAGGATCAATCTGCAAGGTACTAGGGTGAGGCCAGTTCTGGTGTTCCTAATAAGCTGGACAGACACCCATGGGGAAGATTTGATGGGACAGCCACTCCATGGCCAAGGGACATGGTTTGGTAAGGTTGAGGCATATCTACTAAGCAGACTGACAAGAGCTTCAGATTCCCAACACTATAAGGAACTGAGGGGAAAAAAATCAGGAAGACAGAACCAGGTCTACTCAGCAAGACAGAGGCTTCCAGCCCTCATCATATACAGCTATCTCAGTATCATGATTACCATCTTATACCCCAGAACATCACCTATTGTGTAGCCAATATATGGTAATATATTTTTTCCCTTTTTAAATTGTTTTTTTCAAAAAAAGTAAATTTTTTTCAACTTATTTCTCCTAGATTTTTCTCTTTTTTTGTAATTATAATTTTTAATTATTTCCTCCTTCAATAATAAGAGCTCCATTGTTGCTAGTTTTTCTGATCTTGTTATTCTTTTCCCCCCAAATATTATCCTTTAAGGCTTTTTGTTTTGTTTTATAGTATTTTTATTTTTCCACTTTTATTTTCTTCAATAACAAGGGCTCTATTTTTTGTTATAGTTTTCCTACTCCTTTTATTCTTACTTTTCTTTCAATTTTTCTCCTTTTCTCTCTTTCTGTAAATATTTTTCTACTTTTTTTACTTTTCCCTCATAAATTTTGCAAATAACTAAGATTACCCCCTTTATTTACATCTTATATAATCTTATTTTGAATTCTCTTTATATACTTTTATTATAATTATTATTCCTTTTTTCTAATCGATTTTCTTCTTTGTAAAATTGTAGTCCATTTATGGGACAGAGCCCCACTCTAAGGCCTGGGCTAGGGTGCCTCAGCATTGGCCTGGCACAAGGAGACCTTGATCCCCTGCTATAGGGGATCCTTCTAGCTTTGGCCTTTGTAAGCATGCTTGTGGTATTTCCCAACTGTGACAAACTGCAGTTTTTTGTTTATTTTTGTTTTTCTTCTCTATTTGGTAGAGGTGGGTTAGAGGTTGTATCTTGTTTCTTCTCAGGCTGGTATGGAGCTCTAAATCTTGAGGGACCCACCCAACCCAGCCCACCAGAGGCTGGGAATTCTGGGTACAGGTCAAAGCACCCTGCTGAACACGACTATTACTCTTGTGTCTCTCTTTCTGTTCTTATTTTTGTCAATCTTTCCTTTTACCTACCTTTCCTTTTTCTTTTCTTTGTCTACATTTTCTCCTTTCTTGCTCTTTATTCTTCTCTTCCTTTTGGTTCTATAACAAAAGGACACTTCGACACCTAAGGTCAGAGACAAGGTAACCTAAAGACGAGGAAGAAGTGAAGGAAAAAGTAGGGGGAGGAAGAAGACAAAATGAAAATACTTATGAGGAGGAATCAACAGAAAAATCTGGGGAACATGAAAAACCGGTATATAGTAACCCCCTCACGGGATCATGAGGTAGCTACTGCAGAGGATTCCACCTAAAAACAAATATTAGAAATGACAGAAAGGGAATTTAAAATGTGGATGTAAAAACAATGAAGGGAATTGCTGATAAAGTGGAAAATAACCAAAGAAAATCCAAAAACAGAACCAAACAGGAGATGAAAGATATGAAGAATATGGAAAGGATGTAGTATAACTTAAGGATTTGAAGCAGTCAATCAGGGAACTTAAACATGCCATAGAAGGTATTAATAACAGATACCATGGAGAAGAAAGAATCTCAGAGCTAGAGAATGAAGCTCTTGAGCTAACACAGGCAGTGACAGAGGCAGAAAAGAGAGAGGAAAGCAGAACTTCACTGAGAGAATTATGGGACTTCAAGAAGTGTTCAAACATACAAATTATAGGTATTCCAGAAGGGGAAGAAGAATGCCTCAGAGGAATGGAAGCCCTAGTAGAGGATATCACAAATGAAAATTTCCCATGTATCACCAAAGATTCTGATACTCTCTTTTCACAGGGATATCAAATCCCAGTTCATCTCAACTCAAACAGAGCTTCTCTGTTGACACATTGTCTTGAACCTGTCCAAAATCAAGATGAAAGAGAAAATCCTACAAGCAGCTAGGAATAAGTGCCAATTGACTTACAGGGCAACAGTGGATTTCTCAAATGAATCTTCACTACCCAGAATAGAAAGGTCATCCACCTTTAACCTTCTTAAACAATTTTCAGCCCAGAATCCTATGTCCTGCTAAGCTAAGCTTTAAATTTGGCAGAGAAATCAAATCTTTTACTGATACACAAATATTGAGGAAGTCTTCCATAAGATCAGGTCTACAGGAAATACACAGACCTATCTCCACACTGACCATCAGAATAGACCACCAGCAAACTAAACACTCCAAAACTAAAGTACAAAACCTAGCTTCCACAATGATGCAAAAGATAAAACTAAGCAATACACTTTCACAAAACAGATGAAGAGAACTCCACCACACTTATCAATTCTCTCAATAAATATTAATGGCTTGAATTCCCCACTGAAGAGGCACAGGCTGGCTGATTGGATAAAAAAGTTCAAACCATCCATATGCTGTCAACAGTAAACACACATAGCCTTGAAGGACAAAGCAAGACTCAGGGTGAAAGGATGGAAAATAATATTTCAGAAAATAGGAAATCAGAAGAAAGGAGGCATTGCAATCTTATTTTCAGATACAAGTAGATTTAAAGCAACTACAGTTAAAAAAAAAAAAAAGATGGACACTTTATATTGGTCAAGGGAACAATACAACAAAAGGTTTTTAGACAATAAACATTTGTGTACCCAACTTAAATGCTCTCAGATTATAAAATAGACCTTACTTGGTCTGAGCAATATGATATCCTAAAACACCATAATAATAGGGGACTTTAACATTCCTCTTACAGAGCTGGACACATCCTCTAAACAGAAACTAAACAAATATACAAGGGACTTAAACACAACCCTAAAACAACAGTGCTTAATAGACATACACAGAACACACCATCCTAAAGCTAAGAATATATGTTCTTGTCATCAGCCCATGGAACATACTCCAAAATAGATCATATCCTGGGACACAACTCAAACCTCAACAAAATTAAAAGAACTGAAATTATACCTTGTATCTTCTCAAACCACTAGTCAATAAAGAAGGAACTCAATTCCAACAAAAACTTTCATCCTATACAAAGGCATGGAAATTAAACAACCTTATGCTAAATGACAGTTGGGTTAAGGAAGAGATAAAAGAGGAAATTATTAACTTCCTTGAACATAACAACAATGAAGACATAAGCTACCAAAACCTGTGGGACACTGCAAAAGCAGTCCTAAGGGGGAAATTTATCACATTAGATGCTTACATCTGAAAAACAGAAAGAAAATACATCAATAATCTAATGAATCATCTTAATGAAATGGAAAAAGGAAAGCAATCTAATCCCAAACCTAGCAGATAAAAAGAAATAACCAAAATTAAATCAGAAATAAATGAAATTGAAAACAAAAGAATCAAAACTCAGCACATTGTATACCCCATGATTGCATTAATGTACACAGCTATGATTTAATAAAAAAAAGAAGAAAAGAAAATTAATGAAACTAAAAGTTGGTTCTTTAAAAAGATAAATAAAATTGATAGACCATTGGCCAGATAACTAGAAACAGAAAAATAAAATCTTTAACAACCTCAATCAGAAATGAAAAGTATATATAAGGGTATATATATCACAGAAATACAAGAGATTATTTCTAACTAGTACAAGAAACTCTATGTCCAGAAATTTGACAATGTAGAGGAAGTGTGCCAATATCTGGAATTATGCCATCTCCCTAGACTTAAGCAAGAAGAAACAGATGTCTTGAATAGACCAAAATCAAGCACTGAAATTAAAGAAACAATAGAAAAGATTCCAACAACAATAAAAAGTCCTGGACCAGATGGCTTCACACCAGAATTCTACCATCAAAGATGAGCTTGGACCTGCACTGCAGAACCTTTTCCAAAACATTGAGAAAGAAGGAACCTTCTTGACATTCTATGAAGCAAACATCACTCTGACTCCAAAGCCAGGAAAGTACCCAACTGAAAAGGAGAACTACAGACCAAGTTCACTAATGAATATTGATGCAAAAATACTCAAGAAAATCTTAGTTAACATACTGTAGCTACACATTAAAAAAATTATACATCACAATCAATTAAGCTTCATCCAAAGGATGCAAGGTTAGTTTCACAAACACAAGTTCATAAATGTAATTCACCATATCAATAGAAGCAAAAACAAAGACCATGTGATCCTCTCACTAGTTGCAGAAAAAGCATTTGACAAAATTAAGCATCCTTTTCTTTTTTTTTTTTTTTTTTTTTTTTT